GTCGTCGCGTGCCCGGAATGACTTCGGGTGCTGACGTTGGTGTTGTGATTTGTGGAGCGGCCATCGGGCAGTTGAGAATAAACACAACTGACGTTGCTTATCGCTTAAAGTGTAAGTTTTTGGTCGTGTGCTGTGCGGTTCTGAGTCGCGTGTGCGGTGGGGACTTCAGCCCTTTGGATGACTGGGTATTCGGTATGTGTGTATAATCACTTCTTCTCGTGAAGTTCGACGCCTCCAGCGTCGTTATTGCTAGCAGGGAAGCATTCCGTCTTTGAACAGTTGTGGAAAAGGGAGGGAAAAGAAGAAAGATCTATGAGCGCGTCGCACTGAAAAGAGATGGAGAGAGACTGAATCAATAACAGATAAAACTCTTATCTCTAGCAGCAAAAAAGATCGCCTGAGTGCAAGTTTTGACCTGAGATGGGGCGGGCCGACGGGACGTCATAACCCTTGGAACCAATTGAAATTGGTGCCCAATCATCAAATGGGGGGCCATCGAGATGTTCGCGTACTCCGTAAGGCAAGGTACCCGTAACGTTGTAATGTGGTAGCGGCATCCGCAACGGTCTTGTTGCCGTCCCATTTCCGATGTATCATATCAGCGCGGTCTATTCCTTGTCCTGGCAGTCCTGCTAGTAATGGCTTCGGCGGTTGTAGCAGTTTTGTTGGTTTTCCGCGGCTCCAGACTTGGGTGTAGAACGCTTGTGGTCAAAGACCGTTTTGAGGCTCTTTTAGACTCGAGAGTCAATGTTGCTGAAAATTTCAACATGCCAAGCCCAGAAGACGGGGCATATGCCGCTTTGTTCACATCCCGCCGGTTAGTGCCGTGAAGAGGTTTGGCCTCTTCTCGGTTTGTGTAGAATTCAACATAAGATAGCTAACATTGGCGTAAGGAGACTTGTCAGCTTTCGAACGGCAGACGGTAGAGCATCGACTCAACGTCAAGCAAAACGACTGTTTGTAAGTGAAAACAGACTGCCTTGCTCAGCCAAACCTAGCATTTGCCAGTTCGTTTCATTGGCAGGACGGCAGGCGCAAAAGTTATGCTTAGCTCATCAAGCTACTTTCTAGTGCAAATGTCGTGTCTAGCCTGTGATGCTGTCAGCGGTAGTTCAATGACGGAAGACGACACACACTTAGGCAGATCTTGGACTCGGCAGACGTTAGCAGAGGTGCAAGAATGCCGTGATAAGAACGGTCGAGAATGTGGCGGTGCCAAAAGGTGGCTGTGGTGGCGTAAGCTGCAGCCACACTTGGGACACCACAGGTGATCTGCAATGACTTTCGTCCTCTTGAGCGAATGGAAGTGACACGACAAGGCAACGAGATAAGTTGAGTTGTTATGATTTACGCGGAGACACACTGCATTGCATCTTCTCGGCTGTGCAGGTCCAAGCCTCGTAAGGCGTCGGTTTGCAAAGCCGGGATGCCAATCAAGCATCCTCAGTCACTGGCCAGTTCCCGCCGGCGATCGGCCACCGGAGCCGGGGCTTCTCCAGATCCCAACGGAGCCAACTGATCTTGGATGGCTAGCCGATGTAACGATATTCGCGGCCTCGGCCACGTCTGTTGTCTGTCTGGGCTTTTGAGAGCTGCATGAAGTGACGTTAGCATCCATCTAGGGGAGGGCTATCGAAAAGCAAACCGTGGGGCAATCGCAAAGAAAGCAGCGGACGGGCGGGAACTCGGGCGTTCCACCTCCTTCCCAAGATCCGCCCGGGGGAGCTCTTTCTCCGGGAATTTTTGGAGGAGGAGCCCAGATGGGGGGAATCACGAGCTACCATTGGGTCAATCAGTGCTTGGCCCCACCTCGGCCCGTGACCCCATTCGTCACGTGGGAGTTGACGTAAGTCATAATGACAGAAAAGGGACTTTCACCTCAGAAACTGGGGGCTATGGCACTCTCGGGCACTTAGGGGAAAGTGTTGGCTGAGGTGCAGTTGCCTGCAGAGAAACAGTCTGGAAAGAGCAGAGTGAGGCAGGAGTGGCAGGTCGGCGCCGCATTGAGCTGTGTTGGTGGGTACGTACCTCTTAAAGTGGCCGAGGTGCCCCATGCCCCCAACGGCCACCCGCGTCAACCTTGGAATGCCGTAAGTGCACCTTACGCAAGGAAGCTGGGCGAACCAGGAGTGGCACTTGCACTCGTGGACTCGTGGGACCATCTAGAGCTCCTTGCTCATCGCTTCAAAACGCGGCCCCGTCGCCTCTCACCCCATCAACCTACCCATTCGTCTCCGGAGCTGCGCACTTCGTACCAAATCCCAAATTCGCATCCCAAATACGCGGACACTACCCGAGATTCGAGAAATGGCGACCCCTGATCTGCGACCCTGAATACCACCTCCTTATCCCACTTCGAGGCGCCCTTTAAACTAAGCTTCTTCCCGCTGCCCCGTCTGATCCGGATGCGATCCCGTTGAACACAGTCGCCGCTTGCATCTCGCAGCTACATCCCATCCGCACCGCGCGGTGACTGCTCCTGCGAATACCACCGACCACCATCGAATGCACACAACTGAACCAACAGATTGATAGCTCATCTGGCAATCAACAAGACCGTCACTCTCATCCTCCCCTTAAATCCCCCGAGATCATGGCATCTACAGCTGCCTCCCCCAACGGCGGGGCTCACGACCACGTCCTGCGGCCGAGGCCGAGGAAGCCACAACATTCTCAGTTGACGAGAACACAGAGCAATACTTCCGTCGGCGAGATGAATGGCATGACACCTCTATCAGAGACTGGCCAGACCAGCGGCACTACTAGGTAGATACACTTCTTCCCACTTTCGTCACACACCAGCGCTAACGTTAATGTCGTCACAGTGGCCGCTCGACACCAGTCCCTCACGATGCCCTCCCCTCCGTCAAGAGCATGTCCTCGGCAAAGAAGCAAGCCCGTGCTGAACAACGACGCCGTATCTTCCCCACGATCGAGTTCGCGAGCCGCGTTTCCCACTTCGATCCGAACTCCGACTACCGCGACTTCCATGGCTTCTTCAACCTCTTTTGGATCGGCCTTGCCATTATGGCCATCACCACCATGCTGCGCAATATCAAAGATACTGGTTACCCCATGAGAGTCCAGATCTGGACCCTCTTTACAATCAAGATTTGGCATTTGGCTATTGCAGACTTCCTTATGGTAGCAAGCACCTTGGTGTCACTACCCCTCCATCGCCTGTGGCGCTCTGCCCCCGCCAATGGAGCTCTGACGTGGAAGAATGGAGGCATGGCTGTTCAGAGTATCTATCAAGTCGTGTGGCTTGCCTTCTGGATTGCCATTCCCTTCGTGCTCGACTGGACATGGACCGCGCAGGTCTTCCTGCTGCTACATACCATGGTCCTGCTGATGAAGACGCACAGTTGGGCCTTTTACAATGGTCACCTCAGCGAGACGGAGAAGCGTCTCTACGCTCTCGACAACCCCTCGACCGCCTCCAAAGACCCTGTCTACCTGTACCCAACACCCGACAACCCGATGGGTACCGTAAGCAGCCCCAAAACACGCGATTTCAAGGCCAAGTCAGAGGCCACAGGCACGTCAGACACGGACTCGACGTCGGACGAGATCGAGCAGCTCCGCGAGGATCTGGCCCAGGAGCTCACCTCGCCCATGGGAAACCTCGCATACCCTCGCAACCTGACCTGGTCCAACTATTTCGACTATCTCCTGTGTCCCACGCTATGCTACGAGCTCGAGTACCCCCGAACAGCCCGCATCGACTGGCAGAACCTCATTTCCAAGATCATCGCCGTCTTTGGCTGCATTTCTCTCCTCACGGTCATCTCTGAGGAGTTCATCCTACCCATTCTCAGCGACGCCTCCGTCCGTTTGAGCACAGTCCCGAAGCCGCCCGTCTCCGAGGCCCTCCTCATCCTAGCAGAGAGCGTCTCCTGGCTCCTCTTCCCTTTCATGCTGACCTTCCTTCTTGTCTTCCTTGTCATCTTCGAGTACGCCCTCGGCGCCTTTGCCGAAATCACGCACTTTGCGGATCGTCACTTCTACTCTGACTGGTGGAACTCAACTGACTGGATGGAATTTTCTCGCGAGTGGAACATCCCCGTCTACAGCTTCCTGCGCCGTCACGTGTACAGTGCCAGTCGTCCCTACGTCGGTCGCCTTCCGGCCACCGTCATTACCTTCTTGATCTCCGCCATAGGTCACGAGATCGTCATGGCTTGCATTACCAAGAAGCTTCGCGGCTATGGCTTCATCTGTCAAATGCTGCAGCTGCCCATCGTCGTGTTGCAGCGCACAAAGTGGGTTCGCGGCAAGGAGACGCTAAACAACGTGTGCTTTTGGTGTTCCATGGTCATGGGCCTGAGCATGGTAAGTCGTCCGGCTTCCTTTCGATATGGAGCGATAGCTAATGATTGGCAGATTTGTGCTCTCTATGTCTTGGTCTAGGACCTCGACAAAGCAGTCCGTGCCGCATCTTATTATTTGAGTCACGCATAACCTCTTCATCTCTCAAATGTCGCATTGCCGAAAAGACGGTTTAGATGAGCTTGACTGAAACTCATTGTACTATTATTATCAAGGCAACTCTGTATCATTATTCTGGATCATTCACGGGGCGGCGTCCCCCAAGACAGACACACAATCATTTCCCTGGCGTTCTTCTAGATAGGTCTTATACCCCCTTATTTACATGCCCAACTGGCAAAGATTACACTATACCCGGTATTGCAAATGTACCAGCCAAGCTTTCAACGCATTGGAAATCAACAAAATGGCAAAGCCGGCGATTCATTGTCTTGAAGCCATCAATCTGATTGTCCGTTCGTAGGGGCCTGCCCTCCCTTCTGCCGTAGTAGAAATTCACCATCCACTTATTAAATTGCAAACAGAGACCTTCCAAGCAGCGTTTCAATGTGATCCCATACCAGAGCACCCCACAATATTGGGGCGTCCTTCTAAGAGCCCCTCCATCGGCTTTACCAAACACACGACCTGTCCAACAATCTCCATCGTCCACACACGCCAAATCACCGCCCTCATTCAGGAGGATACCTCAACAACGCATCCTCCCTCGCAATGTCATCCTTGTTTCCCAGGAACTCAAAGTTCTCATCATCCAAGACGCCAATGGTATAGTGCCGCGTCTGTGTACTCTCGCGCCAGAACCAACCCATTCGGAACCGGAGACCGGAGAGCTTTTCGTGGAGTTCCTTCTTTGACATGTGCTCGGCGCCTTCGGGGAGGTGGTCCATTGCGTTTGAGTCTTTGAGGAGAGCGGTCATTGCGGCTATGCTGTTGTATCCATCTGGTGCAAGGCCCTCGATTCTCATGCTGAATGGTTGCGATTTCGACGAGGTCGTGCCGAGCGAATCAGTGATCAACACCAATAGACTCAGAAGTGCCGTCAAAGTCAAGATCCCTATGATTACGTAGGTCACTATCGGATCCTGGACAAGGCGGCGACGACTGAGGTTGATAACGTTGGCAGTCAGATTGAAAGGGGTTGGCGGAGGGCTGTCTTTCGAATTCTGGGTGATGTCAAGGCGATTCTCGAAGTTAACTATTTGAGCCGCAAGGAACCCATATAGGTGGTGTATGTCTTTAAGGATTTCTTCTTCGAAATTTGGGTCCCCGAATGCATCCAAAGAAAATCGGCCAAATGGGGCAGACAGTATTCTAAACCAGGAGTCGAAGTACCCTGCGTAAGAGTCACTCGCCATTACTTCTGGGAGTGCATCATGGATGTCTGGTATGTTGAAAGGCATGCCCCAGGGCTGAGCTCGAGACTCATCCGGTCGTGGTAAATCCCCTGGATTCAAGACAAACTCCCCATGGCGAAAGGTGAAATTGGCTTCGGTGGGCAACTCAACCCAGGAATACTGACATCTTGTGATAGAGAGATGTGAGAATTTTTCTTGTTCTTGGGAATATTTTCCCAGGGCGTAGGTCATGAATTTGGTTGAAGCCGGGATGATATCGGTATCGCGGAGACTCAAGCCGCAAGACCTATTCACGATGCGTAGGTCCTCTGGAGCGTCTAATCCTGTTGCCAAGTATACGTAGTCGGACTTTCTTTCGCCAAGGACGAAAGCGATGGTTTGGGAGAGTTGAGCTTGACTCCCATTAGGGCAAGTAAAGCTTTCGGTGATCTGGGGCTGAACTGTGAAGTAACCGTCGGAGGAGTCGATCCGCTCCAGTTTTGTCAGGTTATAAACATCTGGAGGCACTATCCAGCAGTTAGGCTTCAGCATCGCAACTGACATGTTGGCCTTGATTGAAATATTCTGCGAAGGGTCTAATCCATCGCTGGTGCCAAATGTTGGAAAGACAAGAGTATCGTACGTGTTTTTGGGGTATGTGAGAAGTCCGTCACCCTGACGAAGAACGAGGCTGCTTAGAGTCTGCCTCTTGCGGCTGAGTTCTGTAGCGTTCCTTATCTCTCCAGACCCAAACCAGGTCTTCTGTTGTAACGAGATCGTGCTCGTCTCTGGGATTGTCTTGACGGTAAAAACAACCGAAGCCAGAGTTGTTAGCAGACCACAGATAATGGCTAAGAACTGCGTTACGGTGACAGTTCCAATATGTGCTCGAAGTGAGTGATAGAGTACTTGTAGCCCTAACATATTCGAGAACGACATATCCATTGCTGTGACCCTACACGATTTGGTAGCAAGAGCGGATAGTGTGGCCAGACCTCGGTATGTAGAGTCGAAAGAGTTGATATATAATGCAATGCTGAGCATCAAAAGTGTCGGGACAGAAGTCCACAATAGATACGCATGATTCGCCTCTTCACTCACTGTTGCGATTCCCTGGTACTCCATCGATGTCTTCAGAGAATAAGAGAGGCCCGTTGTGACGACAACGATGAGAGAAATTATGGATGCCCGTGCCCAAACTTTCAACACAAGTGGTGTAAAGTCGCAGTTGCCCCATTCGATCGCTTTGTCTTTGAGTCTAGGGCTATCTTTTGATCCTCCGTCCGAAGATCTTCTTTGATGTTGGAGAAAAATCATGTTTCCAATGACTGTGAGAAGATCTCGGTACCAAATCATAGTCATGTTTTCGAAGAAGAGAAGTACAAGAGCCACCATGATCATTGCCAGTCCAAAAATCGTCGTCATGGATAAGCAAGTCCACTTGTTGACCATCAGCTTGGTCACTTTTGTGAAAACGGCCCCGGTTGCATTGAGATATTGGCCATCGCTGTGCCGAAGACGATAGTGTCCGATCCATGGGCCAAGAATACGAGACATATCCATGACTGATCGGTAAAGCACCTCATTTGTGTATAGAGAAGCGCCCGATGAGTCTACGCCCATTCTTGAGGAGTTGCCGAAAAAGCTATAGGCAGTGTCAACTGGACCCGACACCCGATTGATGTTCGATCGGTTCCAATTAAAACCAAAAGGTACGGAATTACCGATAAGATCCCAAAGGTTTGCGGTGATTGGGTATCTGTTCTCGTCCGGTAATACTTCAACTAGCGGCATCGTACCGTTGTCGGTGACCTTGACTCTTGAGACCCACAAGCCAGAAGAGCAAAAGACTGCTGCAAGATCAAAGTCCAACGACGAAGAATTGATGGTGGGTCTTTCAAAGCGAGCCGCATAATATAAAGAGTATTTAAATTCATGAGATAGTCCTGCACATGATGTTGGTTTGATCAAAGCAGAATGGCTTCCCCAATGAGAAAAGTTTCCAGTAGTGTCGCCGTAATATATGGTCGTATCCTGGAATCCAGGTATCGATAGTGGCTCCTCGCAGCTATTGAAATGTAGCTCCAGGTCTCGAACAGAATACAGAGATAATTTGTTGACATCCTGTGTAATTTCTGAGTAGGAATAGTTTTCTAGCTTTAGACACTGCGTTTCCGTTGAAAGACCAGCCACGGTAGCTCCGATAGGTGCATCAACTGTGCCTCTAGAGCCACTTTTGCTTTTGAATGTCTGATAGGATATCCGTTCATTGACTCCAAAGGGATATCCCATGTCGAAGTTACTAATGGCTTGCGCAATATACTATGGGCTAGTATCTTGCATTCGCCACGGCGGCACAGTGGTGTTGAATGAGTCGAGAATTTCGATATCGACTGGAGTACCCGCTTCGATGGTTTGGACGCTGTACAGACCGGGAGCAAGAACGATCTGAATCTTGAGGGCAATTGAAATAATGGCGACAAGAAAAACAAGATAGTGTTTCCTTCTCCAGGACTCCATTCAAACTTTCGGCGGAAGCATTGCGGTATAATCGAGTTTGTCATTGTCAGAATTTTTGGTCGACAAACTTTCGTGACTGAAGGCAACCCATGGCATGTACCTCAGCGTTTGCGTTTCTACCCTTGACCAGCCAATGGATATGAGCGTAAGCACTGTTTAGAACGAAAATCAGCAATGGACTTAAGTTGGTACCCTTCGGCTTCTTTGGGAGGGTCACGTAGCCTTACCAGCTGTTGGGCCAAAACGCCATAGGTAAACGAGACTCTCGCGTGTTTCCACGAGTTCATTGTTTCGCAGAGATACACAAAACATGGCCGGAAGTGTGATGGTAGAAAAGAGGAAGAAGGCAAAGAATGCCAGTAACACCGCGGGCTGAAGCCATGTAGGACGCCAGGTTTTCGCGTCTTCGGACCAGCACCCGTGCTTATCTTCAGCACCCATGCCGGTAGTACTCGTGGATTCAGTGTGGGTGGTCGAAGATATCTCCTCATTGTCTGTAGAGCGTGATATGGACGAACATAAGTCGCATGGTCCCCGGCTTTCGTCAGGCACTGTGAGGCAAGGCGTCTCTTCCTCGGAGAGGCTAGACGGAAGAATGCTAATCATACTTCGGTTGCGTTCGTTGAATAATTGTGATTTGGGATAAGTTTCGAAGGTCTTTTCTCGGATAGTATAGCCTTGTGTGCGCGCGAGTTCAGACTCATGGGGATTCTGGAGGAGCTTGTGTAATGTTGCGAGCCAGGGTGCACAACAACGCAAAGATGACGAGGACGGATCCTTGCTTCAAGAGTATTAGAAGAGAATATGTCTCTTCTATTGATGATTAAACTGAGACAGTCAAGATACACGTGATAAGGCTGACCGCGAGAGCCTCCTCCCAAGAAGACATCGTTACATTGCCAAGCGATACAGCCTGCGGCTAGCTTGAACCATGTAAGCCGAGGCTCACTTATGAACCATTGCCACATAAGATTCGCTCCCAATACCTAGCCTTTTGGAGTATCTGACTGTTATTCAGTTCTCAAATAACTCTGTTTATGTGGCGTATCTCTGAATTGGAGTAACCGGGCTTATACACACTTGACGTTTTAGGTCCAGTCAATGTCGGGCTAACAGTGTCGTCAACGAAGGTACCTTAGATTCGAAGTGGTAGTTGGCGTAAACCAAACAATACCGTACTATCTAGCCATGCCGAGAGAAGGATTTCTCGATACTAATTTCACTGTGTGCTGTAAAATTGCAAGCAACCTGTTGCAAATCCCTGACCAGTGGAGGAAATCAGCTTCCAAGGGAAACATGGATAGAGGAAAGCTGCCAGCACTGGCACGTTACACACCTCATCTAGCTGAAAACTCCGGGCAAGATGCATCGATGAATTAAGAAAGATTTAAAGCTCTGATTGCTTCATAACGATGGATCGACCTCCAAGTCAATGCTTTCAACGGTACACAGCCTCTGTCCTCATCAAGTACATGAGGCTGGAAGGATGATCCATGTCCGGCGCCCCCCAGTCCATAATCGGCCGCCGCCTAAACTTTATCTAGGCTCCGGATGGCCGTGTAGCATGCTAAATGGTGCACAACGCGTCGCTCAATCCCTTACTTGCCCCCCAACTTACTCCCAAACCATCAACAACCGACCACCCCTGTTTTCTTACTCAAACACTCTGCACCGCCAACCACCACTATCACCAGCTCACCAACCGAACGAATGTACATCACAGACTCCACTCTCGACGGCCTCGTCGCCAAAGTCCGCGAATTCCAACGCAAAGAAGGCTACGGCGTCATTAAAACCCGCTCCAAGCGCTCCGCAGGCACCAAGGAAATCTACCGCCAAGACCTGAGCTGCGATCGCGGCGGCCGCCCCAAGGCCTCCGTCGCCACGATCCGCACCACAAAGTCCAACAAGACGGGCTGCTTGTGGCGCGCGCACCTGACCCTCCAGGCCGACTGCTGGGTCTGCATCCCGCACAACATGGAGCACAACCACCCGCCGCTGACCGAGTCCTTTGCCACGAGCCGGTCCTTTCGCCAGCTGAGCTGGGAGGCGGCCGAGGGCGGCGTGCAGGGGATCCGGAACCGGGTGGATGCGTTGTCGAGGGGGGATCTGCCGACGGGGAAGTTGACGGCGCGCGTGATAGCTGAGAAGATCTCAGAGGAGACGGGGGCGTTGGTGAGAGAGAGCGATGTGAGGAATATCCAGGCGAGTATACGGCGGGCAAAGGCGCGGGATACCTCTGCCGGAGTCCAAAATGAAGAAGATGATGATGAGGAGGAAGGGGACGAGGAATGAAACGTTTCCTCTCATATTGTAATTGCCATCGCCTCCCGAGGATCGCCCCATTACACATGGCCTGAGAATAAGACGGGAGGTCTAATGACGGGTTTCACCGAGGTACGTCTGTACACCTGTCTGCTTTACGCCAGATGCCGTCAAACCATAAGCACGGCGTCAAGGGGGCGCATCACCAAAGTTCATACAAAGGCCGAGAATGAGCGCGAGGCCTCCCTGTATGCCCATTGTCTTTATTCTCGCTTGATTCGAATCCATGGAGCTACCTTACCTACTTATGTGAAAACATCCAATTTAATTACATACAGTTGTGGACAATACTTTCTTAAATCTTCCGCTGTGATGTTGAAGCAAAAGGACGGGATCTAGCAAAAGAACAATGTTGCAAACGAACAGCTAGATGTCCTGTACATCTTTGGTAATTCGCCAATGTTACCCACTCTGTGCAACACGCGAAGAGCAAGTAAAAAAATCTTCTTTGGATTACGCGGGGCGCGGAGTTGTTCTAAAACCTACTTAAACCGGACAGCATTAGCTGTAGTCGTTCGCGTGACTCCAGCATTGGAAAGGTTCGTGAACTCTCGGAACCGCGCGAGTCCTGCCATGTCCTTATTCTATGAATGTATAAAGCATTCCAGGCGCCAATAGAAGCAACCATATCAATAGACATCTAACCTGACTTACCCTTTCATAGTAGGTACCTTACTCAATACTGATTACAAGCAAGCCGCCGAGAAATGAAAACAAGAAAGAGATTACGATTAGATGCTTCTCGGACGCGACTATTGATATCACTTATCATAAGGTACCATCGACCTTTGGTGGAGAATGTATTATCTCGCCCACGATGATGACTGGACGTAGCACAGAACCACGAGGGCGGCCGATGACTGTTGGCCCGTTTTCTCCAATTCTGAAGAGAACGGGGTCTTTTTATATGATGTGTTGGCAGTCTCAAATTTTATGATTTGCTAAGTCACTCAATCATTGACAAAGTGTCTCTTCTATATTTCTCCTCTGGCTCTCTTCTGATCTTGAATCTACAACTTGTCATTCCGGAACTCTTCGACTGTCCGCTTTGATCAGTTGATCTCTAAAATTAAATATTATACACACCTCAAGTTTCAAGCCCTGCTATCCTGGGCGAACAGTCTCGGCATTGCCAGCGATATAACAAGGCAACAAGTCAACACATGCACCAGCCAGTTGACCAAGAACGCTTCGCAACTCTTGAGACTCGTATCCAGTCAACTAAACTTGCCACGCTATTGCCGCTGCTTATTTTTCTTTTTGGGAGACTTATTCCAGCAACGGCACCAGATGATGATGTAAACTCCTAGTCGCAGCGTGAATTCCCAAGCACTTCATGCTCATTGTCTCCGGCGCAAAAGACTTTTCGTCGTCCAGAGTGCTGCCATCCACGAGGAAACAACCATCTTCAGAGACATCGTCGCAAGTAGGGAGATCCCCATCAACGCTTGTAGTGCTTATCAAGAAACCAGGGCTAGAATCTCTATGTGTTGCTTCGTCATATCATAAGCATACAAATTAGGACGAAAACCTCCCCAAAACCCTTCTATCATAGGTAAGGAACACAGATGTTTCGGGGTATCTTGCGATGCTGCACGTTAGATGGATGTGACGTAAGTTGGATCCAGTTCTTGTGAACTTAGTCTACTTCACATCAGCAAGATGCCTTTCTCCCAAGACCGACTGACTAAATACTCACTACACCTAACCTCCTCTAGCTGTATAAACGTGACAGAATACCCTGTGGAAACAGACGGCGAACTAATTCCTATGGAGGTATCTCGCAACTACATGGCGTTTCAAGATAATATCACAGGCATGAACGAGGAAGAGCTTTTTACTCTTGCCGTACAAGTTGAACTCTTTTATCCCACCCCCCCCCCCCTTTCTTTTTTCCTCTCCTCCCCTTCAACTCCAGAAAAGCCAAGCCCGTCTCAGCCTTCCGAACGTCCCAACCAAGCCACCTTAGGCCCCGTAGACAGCCTGATCAATATCTGCGTAACACCTTGCACTCACCGAAATCCCCAAGACCAAGAAGTAATCTCAGCCGCAATTTAACAACTGGAAAAACACCTCCTCACACTTCTTCTTCTCCTCGTCTCACTTTCCCGAGAAGACTCGCCAATGAAAGTCGTAATCACTCGACTACGCGCGTCATTTAAGTCTAGAACACCCAAGTCCAGGCCACCGTGATCCAGCCTCGTACTATTGCACTTGCATTTTCTCTTAAACATCATTCGATCTCGTCAAAGAACATCACCGAATCGAGAGTCAGGCAGATAGACGTGTCAAGAATGCATATCCATTCGACAGAGAATTTAACTATAGCCGCCCCCCCTTGATCCCAGGACATTCCCTTCATGATGATCGTCCTTGCCTCAACAGGCACACGCCTACCATGATGGTATAATAACTCCTCCTCTTTCATATGTTCTTCCTTTTTCCATTGTTTCTCTCCTCCCTCGACTCGTGCACAAAATGAGTGTGGTATATCCCCTCCGCTTTCAAACTCCTTGTAGCGAATGACCAGAAAACAGCGATTTGACAAGGATGAGAAAATATGTCTTGAGTTCGTTAGAGATCTGGAAAAATAGCCAGTAAATGTGTAAAATATATGTCGCCATCCCAATGCATGTATGTGTGTATCGTCAGACTCCAGCGTACAACAACTTCTGTGAGAAACCCAGGACGTTCCAAATGTCCCCGTTGCGTGGACGGGGCCGGCTGCCTGGAGCTGAAACGGGGCTCAGCCTGGTCATGTGGAAGGACGGAGATGGCAAGGCTTCGTTGTTCGTGACCGCCTCATCACAAGGCACCTGACCAAACTTGAGAAGCTTCCTTTATCCCCCCCGATCGCCACTTTGACCAGACCCCGTCATCCGAGGCTCCCACCACTGCCCAGCACGTCTCGCTCCATAAATGCCAATCAATAGCCGTCTCAAGCGACCTCAGTCCCTCAAATGCCCTCAGCGCCATTTCGGGCTCGTCAATCGCAGCCCTCCCAGATTGATATCAATAAGACAGATCGGTACTCGTTACTGTATGGTTTTCTTTCATATCGTCCCCTTCATACCAGCACGAACCAGAGAAAAAGAACTAGAAATGAAAACATGAAAGCTAACAAAAAATATAGAAAATAGAAATCAGCCGCGCGAATCAGGACGTAAGGAGGATGAACATCGACGCGTTCCAGCAGAGCGAAGTATCTCTCATTGCGAAGACGGCGGGATGACCATTGTGAGATCGAGACGTTAATGAGCTGCGCCATTCGTTTGATACTAAGCGTAGCCTGCATACTCATCGTGGCGGTAACGATGCGGAATGTTGCTGTACTGAACGTCATCATATCTCGCCGTCTTCACCTTGGAAAAATACGGGTTGGAGCTCTGGTAGCTTGCCTCGCGAGACGGCATGGAAGGGCGGACACTGTAGTAGTCGTGCTTGACCTTCCTCGGAGGAGAGTCGTCGCGATAGGCTGAAGCATATGCAGCCTCGGCAGCGACTGGGACTGCTCTTCCAGCATTGACGGTGTATCGAGTGCGCTGTCCAGTCTCATACGGTATCGCGTCGGGAGAGTGCGTTCTGTGTCGATGACTCCTTTGTTGATGACGTTGGTCTTCCTCTGAATCATCAGAGTCCTCGCTCAAAATCTGCTGCGGCTGCAGCCTTGAGCGACCACGGCCCCGGACGTCGGTAGACTCAGCAGGCACATGAGAAAATGTTTGAGCCCTAACAGGACCAGGAGGAGGACGGTTGTACCCATCGTTGAAGGTGGCCGCTCTACCCAAGTGCTTAGGCGGCGAGGTAGACGCAGGCGAAGATGTCGCGGAAGCGAACTGAGCCATGTGGCGAGTGCTAGGAGAGGCATCGACAACATTGGGCGATGGCGGAACGGGTGCCTCCTTTGTGGGAGACGACTTCTTATGACTTGACTTGTCCCGTGTCTTGGTCTCAGAGGAGCGTCTCGACTTTGATCTGCGACTGGTGTCCTCCTCGACAGTAGGAATGGGAGGAGGAGCGAAAGGAATCGCAGCGGGCGGCGTCGGAACCGCGGCAGGCACATGTCGAGGCTCGTACGAAGTCTGGGCACGGCTCAGACCCGGGTGAACTGCCTTGCGTGACTGATCCATGTATGACGCTGCGTACAGCATGGTGTCGGCATATTTGGAAACTTTGGCATCGGCCTGGATAGTAGGCACCGGAGGCACAGGCGGCTCTTCACGGAGAGGGGCGCCTCCAGGCGGGATCGAGCGAGATCGCTTGTCCTTCTCCTTCTCCTTGGTGCTACTTGACTTCTTCTTGTCAGACTTGGCGAAAAAGTTGGACTCATCGTCTTCGATGTACTTGTGTCTACGCGATTTCTCTTCGGCCTCGCGTTTGCGGTCCTTTTCTCTTTCCTTCTCGGCCTTCTCTTGGCGCTTGCGTTCTTGACGACGCTCTTCCTTGTCGGCCGCGGCCTTTTCGGCGGCCCTCTTGAGCTGCTTTTCGTACGCCTTACGTTCTTGGCGTTCTCGCTCCTTTTCGCGTTCTCTTTCACGTTCCCTCTCGCGTTCCCTTTCTTTGCGGTCTGCGGCACGGGCGAGCTCCTCGCGTTCTCTATCCCTGTCTTCCTTACGTCTCCGTTCCCGTTCCCGCTCTCGATCTCTTTCTTCGTCTTGGCGGGACGGTTTCTCGTAACTTTTCTCGTAACTTGCGGCCCGGCGAGCCCTAGGCTCTTCGAAGATGGAATTTGATCTGCTGTGAATTTCTTCGTCCCAAGATCGAGAATTGTATCCGGTAGAGTACATGGGCTTGCCGCCGGGGGAGGCACGGTACGTCGTCTTGTAGGTATCCGGTCGGGGCTCGGCGGTGCGGACCTCGTAGGATCTGGCGGCAGGCGCTCTGGGAGCCGAGGTGTTGGCGGACATGCCCTTGGCCATCTCCTTGCGGAGCTCAGCTAATTTGACATTGTCATCGTACTTGCCTCGCTCGTTTTCGTCGCTCAGAATCTCGTAGGCCTGCTGAACCTTTTGAAACTCATCTTGCTTTTGGGCCTTGAGCGTCGGGTCCTGCACCTTGTCGGGGTGGCATTTGAGGACGAGCTTTCGGTGAGCACTTCGAATTTCTGCGAGTTGTGCATCTTTGGAAACGCCTAAAATCTTGTACGGGTCGGGTGGCAAAGCGGACATGATGAAGATGTCTGATGGCGGTATGATGTTGGTATGGGGGCTCGTGAATCCAGTTCGACGGCGGCCAGAGAGCGACTGATCAAATCAAGGCTGTGGTAATGGTCGAAAGACTGCAAGGCGTTGCTTGCGGTCCGGTTCGTGTCGGTCTCTGTGCGGACGACGAGGCTATTGTTGCATTGAGACGGTGATGATTATGTACTCGAGGCTGTGTGAGTTACCCTTTGCAATTGCAGCAGGCTGTTGGGAGTTGTTGTCAAGTTTTCGGGACCGCGGTACCCGGCGCGAAGCTTTCAATCCAGAGCGGAAGGGGTTCCTTGAATGGAATGTTGAGGGAGCAGAAAGGTGAAGGAAGTACGGTAGTAAGTAGAAGTAGTAGTAAGGTAGTATGTAGGCTGAAGTGAAGTCGCGACAAGTGATGTACTGTGAGGGAAGAGGCAAAAAGGAGGATCAGATAAGGCGGAACGGAATATTGGGTATCGTTAAGGTGAGGTGATGATGTTATGGTTCAGAGTTGTGAATCGAGTGAGAGAGAGTGTGAGGGAGAGGCAAATAGAGGAGAGCAGAGGCGAGAGATGCAGATGCGGATATGGATGGCAAAAGAGGGCGAGAGAAGCAGCCGGATACGTAGGGCGAGGGCGAGGGCCAGAGTCGGACGGGTGGTCGATCGTGGGTCGTGGCTCCTATCTCTGGGCTTTCCCCTCGAGGTGCAGCAGCGCAACCAGTGTCCAGTACGCAGGTGGAGTTGTTTTCGTGGGTTGATGTTCGCAAGTTGCGTTGGACGGGCAGCTCAAGCGAAAGACGAGATGGAGAAGGGGGGGAAGGCGTGCCAAATAGGTAACGGGAGGATCTCCAGAGGCTCAGGAGGAAACGGAGGCGGATCTGGGAGAACTGGAGTGACTTCTGACAGCGGTGGAGTTCCCGGGCACTGGGATGCTTGCTAGGAGCCGAGACGAGCGATGACTGGAAGAGCGGAGAGACTTTTGGACGCTGAATGACTGAGGATTAGAAAGGCAAAGAGGGAAAAAAGTGACTTTGGGCGCACCATGCGACTTTGCGAAGAGAGGGTCCCCAGATGCGCGGGTGGATGGCAACGATGGATGATGGATGGCAGATGGATGGTTGGATTGTGGGTTGTGGATTGACGCGGGTGGACGATTGATGAATGTACAGCCGATGGCCCATACAAAAGATACGGAGAAAGGTACCTGCCTCCATCAGGTACATAGGTACATACGTACATCAGGGCGTTTCCGTCCTGTCAGTCGAGAGCGAGCCGGTGCAAGCGTGGGACGTGGAAGGCGCGGTGGGTTAAAGTGGGCACAGGTCCGTGGACGGTGGGTCACAGAGCCTGGGGTCGACGGTACGTATCTCAGCGCAAGATGCATGTACCTTCCTCTCGTTATTCTCGCTGATAGATACGGACTGTACCTTACCTTACGTAGACGATACGTAAGTACAGGTTAAAGTGCCTTACCTCACCTTACAGAAATCCGTACGGGCAGCTTGGCCAGGAAGAGGATAGGGACCTAGGTACTCACATACTCTGAGTGAGTCTGTGACGAAATCGGGTGCCCAAAGGGTCCAGCACCCAAGACAAATGCCCCATTACTTGTCATTTTTTGGTTTTGATCTTGAGGTGGCCAGACCGGGCCAGAGCTGCGAAGATGGAGTCTGGTGTGCCCTGTGTTTCCCGTCTGGCTCGTGTACCTTGACTGCGGTATCTTCGGCGAGTCGGGACTTGGGAAAGGCCATCCCATGGTACGTATTCGTACTGTTCAAGAAACGAGGATGGTGGACGGAGGACGTGACTTGACAGCACGGGGGCTGACCAAGTATTGGAGACGGTGTATTCGCAGGTGCTCTTGACCGACGATGAGGTCACGGGCTTTTGGGCGAAAAGGAGGGGGAGAGGCGACTATGACTGGACGAGACTGTGGTCGATGGCTGGGTCTGGGTCATTGCTGGTTGGACGAAAAAGGACAGCATCTGTAGCGGAGCGTCCACCAGTCAAAAACGGCTGACAGCCACTAGCGCAATCCGAGGTGTGGATCAGCCTCAGTTTTGTGACTCTCCGTTTCAATCCAACGAAACGGAGCCCCAGAGGACCTCCCTCTGTCATTCTGTCTTTTTCCTTCTGCTGTTCAGATGCAGCGTGAGGATCTGAACCGAGGGTACATGCCTCACCCAAATTCGACTTCTGGCTCTGCGGTCACCATTCGATTGGACCACTCACCTCCAGTCAGATGGATGGTTGACTGTATTTAGGCTATCATCCAGCCAGTCTTTCCCCTTCAAGAGGTGTGGTTAACCAGTCATGACCAGACTGCCAGGGCTGTTGCACACAGACGGTAGCCTATGAACAGATGCATTTACGATTGCACACAAGACGGCAACTGATACGCTTCTCGCATGTGGTACAGCACAAACGGGGGTGAACGGATGGGGCTTGTAGCCAGGTGAGACGGTTCTGGCCTTGGCTGATGATGCTGTCCCTGACTGGAAAGGGATCCCACGTCTTATTCTCCCCCCCAGAAGAGGAGGGGCTGGAGTGGGTGTGATGTGCGGCGTGCCCAGCGGGTAAGGCTTGTTGTGGATGGATGACCACGGTGACTTTATTGCTTGCTCGTCCATCGGTGCCACCACTCTGTCTCCGGTACTCACTCCGTGCCGCACTTGTCGTTGTTGAACCTCAGACATCGTCTCGTCTTTGGGTTTTTGCACTTCCACGGGCCGCAGCTTGAGTCTGTTCTGTTCGACCGCCTATTCTTAACCCCGGAAGGACAAGCGCACAGAGACCTAAAGTCCGACGTCTGTCAGTCGTCGGAGCACCGTCGTACCCGGCTTGTCATCGGTCTCGTCCTTGTCTGCGTAACCCGCCGCTGAAGTCCGTCCCGTCGCCTGTCTGGAGACTGGCATTGACCGGTGTCTCGTCTGTGTCCTTCTCTCTACTTCCACGGCGGCGGATAGGCCCTGTTTCCCTCTCTGTTCGACCCGCGTTGTCCGTCGCCCAAACGGGCAGCGTACAGCAGCTTGCGGTGGCTTGCTGCAGCTGTGGTAGGCGGCCGCGGGGGCGGATTGCATAGTAAATGACTGAACCCCCCGGCGGAGCTGAGCCATGATACGCAACGCCTGACGTATGCGGGACCCCTGAGACCTGCCCGTATCGGTGGCTATAGGCCGTCTCGGTTTCTCTCGTGCCTTTTACTGAATAGAGGTCTCGCGTTGTCGGGGAGACTTGTTTAGCTGGCAGGCATGGTGGCATGGTAGATATGGAACCGCAAGAGGTCGGCCACGAACCGAACCCTTCAGGTGATGAGCGACAGGGACGGCACATGGGCTCCCGTCGTAAAGTCGATCGCTCATAGCGGCCCTGGATACGGTGAAGGAGAGTACCGATGGTGGGGTGGTTGGGGAAGGAAGATCGAACCCAAACGATGGCAGCAACAATGTACTTCGCCTTGCTCCCTGCGATGTAGGAGATACAGCTTCAGCCCGCCCAGTGATGTATGTATCGTGCTAGGATATCTTCCAAGATCCAAGGGGGCCATCGCGCAACTTTGACGAAGATGCCGACGACAACTTCCACGCTGCGCCTCGGCTGGAGGAACCGGAGAATGGGGCCAAAGATGACGATGGATGAATCAACCTGAATCATTCTAGCCTTCAGCGCCTCCCGGAGGGGACGGGGAGTTTCTCGTTGACGAAGGGGGAAAAAACGAAATTTCTGTTTCTTGGAGGGGCAAAAATACTGAAGCGCGGGTTTCGCGTACTTCGTCTTTTGTTCGCTGTATCCATGAAAGCCGAGTGCAATGCTGTGGTTGTACCCGCGAGAAGCTGGGAATGTCGTTGGATGGGAATTGATGAATTAGGGATGGCATGGCACCGTGAACGCTTGTTCGCCCTGTCGATTGGGCAGCGGCAACACCAAGGAGCACTTGCCTGGCGCCTGGTACCAGCATCAGGGAGGAAGCATCAAGGCACCGCAACTGCACTGCAAAGTGCAAGCAACAGCGAAGGAAGGCAAGAAGGATGTGGCAGTGGGCAATTGGAAGCAGGCGGTGGCTCGTACGTAAAGTCGTGGGTACTTTGCCCCGTGAGGGGTTGAGGGGCGATGTCCACGTACCGTCGACAAGAGTACTTCGGACTTTGGTCGACCAAGTACCTCACTCCGACGTTTGTCGCGCACCGTTCATCTGCTCCTCCCTTTAGTGGTTGAGTGGCAACAGCGCGGCCTGTGAACACAAGGTGGCACCTGGCATCCGTTTAGCCTCCAACGCTGCAGCTGGCCGCCCTTTGAAACGTTCGTCCGTTTTCAAGCAGCAACCTTGGTTGGAGAGACGCCAAAACGTCCCGTTTCCCGAGGATAGCGCACCATGAATGACAAACTCAATCAACAACTTAGGGGATGCCCGTTGGTGCTTAACAAAACGGCTCTTTAGGTACACGCTAAGCAATCATCTGTCCGAGTCTAAAGGGACCTTGGCTGATAGTGTAATCCATCGTTCTGCGAACTGGAGGCTATGTTCCTCTGGTCTGCTCGGCGGACGCGAATCTGAACCTCCGAGCCGGAGGCTTTCGGAAAGACAGTTGCGTTGCATCAAATCAGTCTGACCATCCGGCGGGTTTCTGAATAATCTATTTTCTTCCGGCTCATGCTACAGTAAGGATACCTCAATTGGAAGCTGGTAGAGCCATCAGAGCCATATTTGGCAGCATGGAAAACACGATTTCAAACGCATCTGTCAGACGTTGCTGAGGTAATGCCCAGGCCTAGTTGCCCGGCAGGGCCATGGAAGCGAGCTCCTCTAGCCGTACCTGCTTTTGCTTGACTCCATCAGCACCGCCCATTCGGCTTCATGACACGCACTGCGGCGATTGTCTAGGGCCATCTGGCGGTGAACAAACACCTCGTTTGACCACCGTTTGCGATAAAAGCGGGTCTTTCGGGCACTCGATCCCCGTCCTCCGGTGCCGTGCCTTCCTCCGTCAACTCACGATGGACCTGACTCTGACTCCTTCCAGATGGAAGGTCCCCTCTCCTCAGGAAGGAGGTACTGAGGTACGTACCCTTTTTGCTTACCTAATGGAGGCAGGTACGTTCGGGAGATGCCCAAGGTTTGCGAGGACCTTCCCAGTAGCGAGCACGACAAGCGCAGCAAAACTTGAGCTGTCACCGTCTGACCAGAAGCGCACCGTCTCCCCGCTAGCCCAACCACCCACCCCTCCCTCCTCCAACTCTCTCCCAACCCAAACCGTTTTCTCTCATCGAGTGCTTGCTCATGGCACTCGATCAATTCGATGCCCAACCTCTCATCCGTCATCAGTCCACGGATACACAAGCAGCCCATGGAACGAAAGGGAAGAAAAACCAAGGAATGAAGCCCAACGGCGATACAACGATGATGGCGACCAAGTAGTACAGATGACCAACTACCCAAACGTATTTCGTGGCCTGGTCTGGCCTTGCCATGATATCAGACGTACCTGGCCACAGCCAAAGAAACGTCGCCAGCAAAGTCATGGGTGTGCCGTACCCCGGGTCGATATGCCATACGAGGCTAGCCAACTTTTGCCCGTGTCCATCAGCTATTATTCGAGCTTTCCGCCGGGAACGCGCAAAGACAATGGCAGGCCACTGGCAGGCCACAGGCCACACAGGCCGCAGGCCGCAGAACAGACGGCGCCACATGGTCGTGATCATCTTGCGAACCCCCAAGGGGACTAGGTAATCAACGACAACCATTCCACCGTGCCCGCTTCGTCTTCTAGCTGCAGAGCCTAGAATGTGGCAGACGAGACGGGACGACAGCAGACTTGTTCTCAGCCATCACATCTCCGGCTTCCATCGACTTGGAGCAACGTCATCCTCGAGAACAGCAAGATCGCAACTAGTCTGAGCATCGTCAGCCATACTTAGCCCTACGAAGGATCTTTCAGGTCTGGGGAGACTTACACACCCTCTCAGAAGTGGTGTCGGTTCTATCTCAAACACTTGCCTCGGAAAGCCCTTTCACAGGCCTTTGGCCGATATTGTTCCAACGTGCTTCCTTTGCAGGTGCATCCACAGCCGTTTATTACGCATTATTATTTCTGCCCTGCATCTTTCGGCAACGATGGCAGCTCATAATCTGACGACTTACTCGCAGTATTCGCATAGTATTCGTCAACTGCCAATGGAGGCCGCCAGAGTTTCGACATTGGCCTGTGGAGTCGTTAAAGTCGCTGGGTTCTTTGCCCGCTACCAAGGCCGGCATATCTGCAATGTCTCCGATTTCGCCCTCTAGCTCGCCGTGTCATCCAATGTCTATGACTGAGCCAGAGACCGGCGGCCTTCCAGGGTCGCAGTCGACCAGTAACGGCGACCGCCGCAAAGTGTGTGCATGACTCCATCCACAGTTCCCAGTCGGGCTCTCTGCATCAACCATCACACAATATCACAAACCATTCGACTTTAAGACCATTCGACTCTCAGGACATGTGTCTTAGCATGCCATCTTCCATCCTCCGTGCTGTTGCATCCCACGCCTTCTCACTCGTGATGAGATCGCCGTCACTACGCGAGGTCGCGTGTCTGTGACCACCAGGAAGATCGGAAGCAGGTACGAACTCTGAGCATCACAGCCCCCAATCTAGAGACAGAGGCGCCCCCTTCTGGATACTTTGTGGGTGAGGGTGAAAACGGCGACCGACATGTGCAAAAACTAGACTCGCAATTTTTTTCGTCCCCTTCCACGTGAAATACACCTTGGACTTGCACTTCTACTACCTAAGGAGGGGGTCCGGATCCGCTTGTCATTGGTCCAGGAGACCCAGGAAGAAGAAGAAGAGGACCGTCTCCCGCGAACAAATCAGACGAAAATTGGAACACCTTCTCAACCAGTCAGACAGAGGCTTCATCTGCAGCTAGACAAGTCACAACGAGTAGGAACCCATGGGCGGGAGATTTTCCTGGAGTAGATGCCGCATCGAGGGAGATACGGTGCTCGAATCATGCTGATCGAGATATCCTGGCCAAGGGCATGAATGTCAACGGATAATGACCTCGAACCGCTCTTTGGCGTTGATACTCGGGGATTATGACAGTGATATCCCAGGCACGAGGGGTAGTGAGTGGCTTCTTACCCCTCAGCATCATCACCGAGCTTGACACTTGCTGTTTGTCACTGGTCCTTGGCAGTCAGTCGGTGGTGAAGGGGTTTCACGTTTTAGCGGTCAGCGCCGTCTGGGCCAATAGTTCGAGAGGAACCGAATCGTCCCGTCTCGTCCTGTCTCGTGCGCGAGCGGGCCTAGGTCCGTCTTCTCCACCGCGGATGATCAGCTGGCTGGTGCCGCACTGGTGTGGATATCCGACCAAGTTTAACAGCTTCTGTTAAGGCATTTCCTTGTGAGGCTTCGGCATGGCAATCCGTTTCTGGAGCATTCAGTCTCTACTTGTAGTATCTCCAGCACGGCAGCGCCAAAAGCTGCCTTCAGCCTTTGGTCGATCACAACGCTTTCATCCCTCCTTGTTGTGGGTTGTAGCTCGATCGGATTGGTGCGGGGCAACGATCGGCCGTCAGAGATGCAGCAGCCTGCTCGCCCTTGGGGCCAACATGAGCAGTTTCTGCCAGTCAGTCAGACTATCGCTGAGTGAGTGAGGTGAGACTGAAAAGTGAGCGGCCAACGACTTTGAGCTGCGGAACATACCGGTACGCGTCTGCTTTGGATCACCATTTTCTGAGCAAAAGAACATGCCGTCCGCTTCGCCATTGCCGAAACTCTTCAGGGAATGGCCTCCAACACTCCCGTGAAAATCTTCAGGAGAAAACCGCTCAAGTTGCGCCACGACAACCGGGAGTTCCCAGCAAACGTTGTGCCAACTATGTGTACCAGTGACACCTTGCTCCAGGGACCCGGCCGATAGCCTATCAACGATGAGATTCGCGAAGTGACTGCCGGGTCAGTTGGAGGGAGGGAATTTTCCCGTTTCTGACCACAAAGCGGATACCGCGCCAACAGATTCCCATTCACGTCTCCAATGACAGCCGCCGGTTACCACCCTCAACTTGTGAAGGGCATGGGATGCCATCCCATCTCTAGGAGTAAAATCCAGGAACTTGTCTGCGGTCGATGACTTTGTCAGTCACCTTGTGGATAAGGTCGATGCATCTTGCAATGCCCAGCTGGCGACCTTTCCAAGGAAACGGCGTTGAGGAAAGAGGCATTTTCGTCGAGAATGGGACAAAGCTCCTGCGTAGGCGTAGGCTGAAGCCGGTCCATCGCTAGCTTGCTAGTCTGCGGTTCTCATGGAGCCTGGGCTGTGCTCGAGGTCTATTTTTTGCTGGGACATCGCTGCCTTTTGTGGCGGTGAAGTGCTTCTCGACAACCTTGGCCTGGACAGCTCTCTGATTCCTTACTACAGCTTCCATCCTTGCGATGAGCTGTTCAATTGAGGAAATTCTTGGGCAGCTTTGAGGTCCGAAAGCCTCTCTTTGATGACAGAGTTTCACAGACGCATCCAGACTTCATCAATTCACAATCTCGATGGCAACACCATGATGCCTCCAGGTGACCCTCACGAAGAAACGTAACAGAGTCGAGAGGGGGGATTGAGGGTCTCATGCGCGGGCAACCCCCACCAAGCGAATCGAACCCCGCGATTCCGATCCCATCACATCACATCATCCCACCTGCGCACAGCCGCCGCATCTGATACTGGGCTTACATTCTCCCGCCCGTAACCCCCCTTCTCTTCCGACGTTCACGTCTCCCTCCTCCTTTCTAGAGTGCGTGAGCGCCTCTTGTCTGGGAAGGTCTCCACCGCTGCGTTTATTGGGCGTTCGACAAGCGCCGAGCTGCACGTCTTCACTCCCTCTCCGGTTCTGCATGTCCATTCCCGCACGCGAGCCCGTCTCCCCGGTCTGAGAGACCGGAACATCTACCTTATTTCCTTCTTGTTGCCTTATAGCCTGCTTCCACATATGCGTCTCCTCTCCAATGGTCCTCGGGATGGATGATGGACATGCTGCTTCGCGAAGCAGAATTGACCAAACACTAAATGGAAGAATATGCCCCCTCCCTTTCCCATCCAAGCGCGGCGGTTGGCATGGCTTCCAGCCAACCGGCTCCTCACGCGAGCTGTATGGCTGACAGTACAGAGGAAGCATATCCGAGGGGTGGTCCTTTTTTACGTAGCATCCGTACAAGTGTACGCTGATCTTCGCCCCGGGGTTATGACTGGCTCTATCTATCCTATCCCAACGACAGGAAGGTTTTCCTTTCCAAAGGGAAGCCTTGCAGTAGGGGGAGAGAGAGATAAAAGGCATGCGTGACTGGGGAATCCGGCATTCTTGTATCGCTAGACTCGGGGCCATTGGTCGGCGGCACGGGATGGACATGCGGTATCAGGCATCCGGAGCCGGATAGATGGCCAGACGGGGCGGCCCATCGAGCGCCTTGCTTTCATCTGCTCCCACCTCTTTGGGTCATGTTGTGACGATGGTCAATGGTACTGGCGGGCCGTCTGGGCGTTTGGTCAACCCTCTCATGGGCGCTAATGGGAATAGGTTATGGTGTAGGCCTGTGAGGTAACACAGCGGCCATCCTCCAGATGGCCGCGTTCGCGACCTACCTACCGCTGAGCCTGATCTGATAGACAAGAAACCCCGTTGTGACGTGTAAGCACACGATGTATCGGAAGACAGACGGGAGGAGGGGAGCAAGAATTACGAAGCACTAGGCGAAAGGGGGGTTCTCCTGCGCCGCAGAGTACAGAATCGAGATGCAGGCCTGGGGCGCGGGCGGCCAGGCCAGAAGGTCAGGCCAGGCCGCTTTCCCCTTCCTCTTCTGCCGTCTTGTTGTTTTCCTGAGCTGTCACCAAAGCCTATTTGGTCTCCACTAATTGTCTTTTGTGTTAGGCATCCACACATGATTATTGAATTTCCGGGCCAATAGGAGGATCAAATTGAAGTTTTGGACTCTGGAGTGTATCAATTGGTAGGCGGAGAGAAGAGTGCATTGGGATTGGATGATGGTTGTGTGTGGTGGGCGAGGAGCGTTGAATTGGGAAAGTAAGCTGAGCGAGGACGGTATCTGAATGTAACTTCTGTTTTCTCTGGTTTGGGATACTATCTCATGGACTTTGAACCATGGGACTGTGTTGAGCGTGTCGTGTCGGAGAGGCTTGAAGGTAAGGAAAGGTGAGGACTCATGGGCTTGGGGGGCGAGCCCAGCTTGTCTTGCTTGCCTGGTCTTCTGGGTGGCGAGGCTGGGACCGTCTTACATCAGCTTTTGGGGAGGGATAGGTACTCTGCAGGTAGGTTTCTGAGGGTTGTGTCGTGGGGGAAGGGGGATGGATAGATGGGATTGATTACGGATATTTGTTTTTCTTACATCAGCAACGAAGGGGTTGTAGGTAGTTCGTTTGCAGGCGAGAACCGTGGCGGATGTCGTCGGGTTTGGATGTGAGTGTCGGCCTGGCCGATATGATTGCTTTTTGCAGTCGTCAAACGGATCACGTGTATGTTTTACGGTTACTTGACATGGGACTGAGAGGGGAGGACGTTGTGGTGTATCATTACGATGAGACTTTTGGGCAGGGCTTAATGGGAATCTGAGAAAAGCTCTGAAAAGGTTCCCTGATAATCATTGAGTCTTGCGGCTGTCGGTGCCTTATGGGTACTTACCCCGTGAACAGTGCAGCAATGTGCAAGAATCGTGATGGTGTGTGTATTGTTAGGATCGAGTCCAGCCCGAGTTGCACCTTTCTAGTCCCGCCTCATTGGGAATGGTGGTGGGAAAGATGGCCAAGGGAGGAGGGGGCGTTAAGGCTTGGTGGCTTGGTGTTTCGGTGCCTGATTATCAGCGCGTATCGGCGTGTGAAGCAAATGTGCAATTCTGTGATGCGTGAAGGTGTGCAAGATGTAGTAGGCCGAAGAAGAAGTGTAGATATGGATGGCTAGTGAGGCAGATGAGGCAGATGAGGCACCCCTTCGATGTGATGAGGCTAGCTCCTTGAGGCTGCTCTCGTGTGATTGGGTCGTTGTCTAGAGCGAGAAGGATGAGGATGAGGATGAGGCTCCGAGGCAGGCCTGTGGGATGGACCGAGAAGGCGGGATACAGCTTTGGAAGTCAGTCTGCCCGTTTGATAGGTCACCCTAACTGGTCGTTTCCTTTCCTCAATCTCATGGACCTGGTTCGCCTTGTTATGGTTACAATAGATGAAGTAGCTGACGGAGGAATCACGATGGGAGACGGAAGACTTGCCGGACATTACGGCGAGAGCAATCGAAGACCTATCGACTAGCAAGGTGCAGCGTGACCGAGTTGAAGAATCTACCTGACTGCGAGGTCCTGTCCCTTGGCTCAATGCGTTGCTCATCTGTCTACTACTTGCCTCCTAATTCTGGCTTTGATTTGCTCTGGAAGTGTGCTGCTCTTGGGGAAAGCTCCCTTACTATGTATAGTACTACGAGAAAGTGATATAAGGGGGCGGGCTGGATAGGTTCAGAGTAACGGTTTTAGAGAGTCTCTCGGGTCTACTAGATGTATGTTCTGACTCGTATACCCATATGAGGATACTTAGAGCTAGTGAACCTCCTTGGTTAAGGGTTCTGCCGTCTTTTACGACGAAGGCGTCTCTATCTTAAACAGTAGTGTTGTCGATACGTCGCGAAACATGATCTGCCTCTATCTGAATAGGATATTCGCTCAGATGACACGGCGTGTTTTGAACCGCCTCAACCCCTTTCTACTATCATTTTAAAGCCAGCATCGTATCCAGACTAGGAGGCTAGGTAGAAAAGGTTGACGTGCTCCTCCCGACAGTCGTCCGGCTAATAGAAATCCTCGGTCTTCTATATAGTGAGTAGGAGAATTTATACTACGGGGGAGATGTATATGTATTGCAATAACAGGGCTTCTAACTGCTTAGGTCCTAGAAGAATAACTATGCCATAGGGAGTCTCTCATGCCTTTGTATGTATTCGGACACGTATAAGAGAATCGTAATACCTAGATTTGAGAGATATCCTTTGGAAATCAGTAAGGTAGTTATGGTACGTGATAATATAGACGTGGATAGGTATGAAGCGTTTCCAGACACCGACGTCGCACATCTCGCAGCATGATCTGCCTGAATGCCCAACCGCGGGGCAGAGGGCAATCTGCGTGCCCAAGCTGGCGAGGCTTCCTATCCGAGGGGTCTGCGGCAGGATACTTATAGTGCTACGGCAGAGACGATTGACGAGCCTTGACCTCTCCGAGCACAAGTAAAGGCCTCCGAGACCAAGAGACAGTCTGGTGGGACTGAATTGTTCAACGGGATATTGTTGTCAATATGAGCACAAAACCGTAGACCTCGGTTATGATCGTCATTTCTTCACTGGCTGTCACTTCGGAAGCCTCATTCCCGTCTCCCTATGCCCCCGCTGTAGACGGTCAAAAACGGTGGTGGGTAACGTTTCCGAATACGTCCTCTGACTGAGACTAGCATAGAGCAACTTCAGCCTCTTCGACTCTTAGTACCCTACCCCTAAGTCGTTATTGTAGACAAGGAGTATCACATGCGGCTCATCTAGTCCGTCGAACACCACATGAGGTTTGGTAGTCCCTTACTCGGGATGAGACAGCCTGTATGCGAACCCGCGGCACAGATGTCGAAAGAGGAAGGCGACGAGCGTCGCGTCCACAGGCAAACGTTTTGAAATCATAGCCGGGCGATGGAAGGCCACGGGCGAACTCTCGAGTCGGTAAAGTCATGGAAGTTATCATTGTGCCACGAATGATAGGCGTAGAGGTCACCGAATAGTAGCATGCTGGAGCGCAACTGAAGGTTCGAGGCTACCAAGACCGGGGAGGTGAACACTAAAAGGCCGATCTGTTCTGAAAGCCTGCTGCCTCGCCTAAATTCCGTTGTGGCAGCAGTCCACGCGGGCTACTTAGACCTGTGTCGAACAAGAACGCATGCCTTCACCGATATGCAACTCCATGCAGGCGCCTCTTCAATAACCAAAGCTGCCCCGCCGTCTGCCTCGCCGCCAATGCAACGTCGATATCACAGCCACTTTACTCAACCTGAAGCAAGGCATCTGCCCACCTGCCTCTATGTTTCATTGAGGCCCTCAATCCGCATATACGACCCGCGGCATCCCATCGCGATCCCACTCCCACACCGGCAAATCCAGGTCCACTACAATAGGCTTGTTGGCCGTCTTGCCGCCGACGTGCGGATAACTCTTCGCCATGATGGCGCAGTTAACGACGCACGTCTCCCGCCGGCCAAGGCGTCCAGCGAGCGCGGCGACGTCGGTGCGGGGTGATGTCGGATCGCCGCCGAGGCCGCGGGTGCCGAGGCCTGGGTCTGCGGCGGATTCTGACGTCGTTTCGGGGGTAGACGGAGACAGACCGGAAGCTGTCCTCCCCACAGCCTCGTCGTATGCACTCCTCCCCGGGTGCGAACCGTCGCTGCGGAGAGGGTTCCCGCCCTTGATTGTCAGATTCACGAGGGACTGCTTGTTCCCCTGGCCCGGATCACTCCAGCGTTCGACGCCTTCTTCTTTGAATGCTGAGCCGCCGCAGCCCAGATCCCAACTTACCCTCTCGACGCCGCGTCCTTCATGGACGTGTCCGCAAACAGCGAGCCGCGGACGGACGCGCCACAAGGCCCGTCTCAGGGCTTCGCATCCCGCTGCGCGCCGGGCGCGGGATTCATCGCAGTGGGTGTGTGGCGGGGTATGCGTCACGACAACGTCTGTTTCGAGGGGGATATCGTCCCATAGCGTGGGTAGATCACTCGCCGCGGCGCCGACACTGCCGTGCTGAGGGGCGTCGTAGCCGAATGCCCAGAGGCCGTTGCGTGGCGAGTACGGGGAGGCAAAGACTGTGAAGGAGGTGTGTGGTCCTGAGGGGGAAGAGAGGCGGATGGTTGCTGTTTCGTGGGCTAGGTAGGTTATTGAGGGGGAGTTTGTGAGGAGGGCTGCGCAGTCTTGAGGTGATTGTGGTGTCTGGTTGTGGAAGTGTGATCCGTGTTGAGAGTAGAAGTCTGCGTCTAGGGTGATGTCATGGTTCCCTAGGCGGCCGTTTGGTCAGTGTTCTGATGTGAAGGGATGAAATGTATACTACGTCAAGGTGAGGAAGTCTGAGGGGGGACCAACATTGTGCGTACCTGCGACGACGATTTTGGTCTCAAAATCTGCTTTCTCGAGCCATTGGATTGCCTTTGATAACTGGTGATGCCGTCAGTCACACTGTCCAAATAAGGTACATTCAGAAGCAAGCAAACGCCACCGGCGAGTCCATATTTTGTTTATTCTATTGCCGCGATGAACCCAGACACCATCAGAGAGTAGCTCATCTCTCCCCGAGCGCCTCCCACATGGCTCCCGAACGGGTAAGTACCTGAGTCGACAACTGGGAACTTCCTTATTGTCTCTCGCTCTCTCTCCAAATACACTTATAGAAAGGGCACGAATGGGGCACGTACCTCGGAATAGCTGCCCTGGTTGGTCAAGTCCCCCGCGTGGATCAGCACGTCGCCCTTTGGCAACTTGACGGTATTGTTATGGGTGTCGGAGACGCAGACGAACCGGGTCCTCCGCAGGACCGGCTGGCGTTGTGCTGGCGGCTGCGGCTGCGGGTGGCCAGAGGTGCCGGTATGGTCCATGATCCCGGCGATGTTGGAGGGGTCAGTCATGGACCGGGGGCCGGGCTTGGACGGGCTGTGAGAGGTGCGTAGCGGCCGGCAGATGATGAGGCCGATGGAGAGTTCGGACCGCGTGCGTTGGTGTAATTCGATATTCGATAGACGAGGGTGCGGTGGTATCAGGGCAAATTAGGGGGAGGAGCCGGCAATAGGGCTCGAATTAGGCTACAGGGCCAATTTGTGCAGATGATGAAGGCCAAGGTATCCGTATTATCCGTATGTATGTGATGTAAGGATTTTCAAGAACAGTATAAAACGAGTACAAAGGCACGTGAGAGGATGGGGGGCCAAGAGAGACGGACTGTCGTAATGAACCGGAATGAGGATGTTTGTGCGCAGCGCTTCACTTGAAACAGGCCGGGATAATTCAACAGCACGAAAAGGCAGCCCGGCACCGGATCGCGCAGGCCGTGCGTTCCGCCTTCCTCCATCTGCGTATGTCGTAGCCCGGAATTCCTTCCAGTACCATGGGCTTCCCAGAGCTTGAAAGCTGGTGCCTTGTAGATGATACGTTTCTTTGTGAATTGTTCCTCAGCGGCCAGATTCGTTCGGAAATTATCAGGAAAGGACGATCTGGAAATTGGGGGCCCCCTGCAGTTTCATAGCCAAGGTGCAGAGGAGAAAGTGACGAGAGATGAGATCATGAGCCTGGTCGTTCTTCTAGAAGGAAAAATAGGGGAGGGGTTTCAATGTGTGGAATGGATGAACGTCTGTTCGGTATGACCGCTCTGTGTCATTTCGTGGATGGCGGACCAGAAAGTATTGATGCCTCTTAACGTTCGTAGCTAAGGTACGTAGTTGTAGGCTGTATGCAATTGGTTGGGTACGTGGGATATCATCGGGTGTGGGGCTGGTGAGGTACTTGGGTACCTACCCATTTCCGTCATGCGAGATCCCAGGAGAAACGAAGCGCCGCCATTGGTTATACTGGCGGTGAAGGGATCTCGTTGACTCGCATCCCCAATTGCACCCAATTTGTGAGGTGAGGTTGGTTGTGAATTCAAGAGAGGCAGGCTTGCTGCGGTGGAAGAAGAAAAGGTCAGCAGCCGGTATTATGCAAATGGTCAGATGGAGAGACAAAACGGTCTGCAAGCGAGGTCGAAAAAGAAAGCAAAGTTCCCGAAATGGGGGTTTGAAAACGTCTCAGGCGCATATACGAAAAGGAAGAGAAAGCATCAGCCACCTTCTCTTCCTCTCGTGAGAATCTCGTGAACTGTGGTACATGTAGCTATGCAGAACAGTAATCCCAGCGGCGAGGAAAGAACTGAAGAGGCAGATGACTGAGAGATTACGTTCACACACCAGAGTCCCCAGGGATAAAATGAGTGAAGACTTAAAATTGAGAAATTGAGAAGCAAGAGGCACAGCACACAGACCGTTGAGATTCCTGGTTGGCGGTTTCTGGGATTGATTGCCTGAGCCAGGGCCGCCAGGAGGCGCAAATGACCAGTGCCGGGGGGCTTTGGCCTTGAGGGTCTAGAATGGTGACAACACAGTGCGCTTTTCTGATGACAAACTTACATAAGCAAGGAAACAGGGACATTACCTTAGCACAACTATTGCTCGCCTGAGGTTTTGGTTTTGTTCACGCATACATCCACAAACACAAGTACATCTGGGCTGGCATCAACACTTGCGAATAATTCTTTCATGAAAATGACGACGACGTGGATATAAATAAACAAACTCAACAAAAGTCCGATCTCGCTGGCGGCCCGAGGGATACTGCGTATGGGTGACGTTGAATTTGGGTCCTGGTTAGCTGAGCTGATCTGGATGGGATGAGCCTGGATTGACAGATGACGATGTCTGGCTTATCACTTATGCTAAGCATATCCGCCATACCAACCATTGCAAGTGCCCGCGGCTGGCATTCAAAGCCCACGTTCCATTCCAAGCATTGCTGTGCAACACACCCCGTTCCCGGCCGTTCGACCCCATCGTTCTTCAACGGTCCCAGCTCCACCGCAATTACGAGGAACTCACTGTGTTGGAAGACGAGGGGTCACCCTCCTTTTCCTTCTATGCATATGGAGTATCCTCACATCGCTTGCGGCTCCGTTATGGGAACCAGTCGTCAATATCGATTTTGACGACGGGAATAGCCTCAATGCTCAACGATCCAAGGGAGGACAGCAAGAGTCCAGCCCAAGAGCAAGCTGTCCGAGCGCAACTGATGCACTGACAGCACTGCATCCCTTCCCTCCACCCGTATAGAGTCTGGGAGTATGCGCCTGCAGCCTGTCCGCCACTCACCTGTCGGTGTTTGCAGCACCTTTGACGGTTTGACCTCCCGTCATGTCTTTCCCTCCCTCTGAATCAACGCCATGCCATTGACGCCTTTCTTTGTCTGGTCTGCGATGCAGCGTCAGTGTCACACGAACAACATGTGGGCCGTTGCACGGGACCCCTCTACGTGTCTGGAATCTCTGGATAGACGTCTGGCATCCGTCATTGGCCCTCTAGAGGCAGAGAGGCGCAGACGTCTTGCATTCGCGCGTCTGTCTGCCGGGAGGAAGAAACACGCCGGTGACAAGCGCATGTAGCGGTCGTCGTTGGCCTTTGGCATTGTTCTCCAATGAGACGCGGCAAAGCAGCAAGCGCAATGGTCAGGTACCTAGCTGTATGGTGAGCCAAGGTATGCAGTACTTCGTATACTGATTATGTGTAGGCAGCTGCTTGCCCCTCCTCCTTCCCCTCATCCACAAACTCTTTATCGAATGACGAGAGCGACATCTCTCTTGCTGACTACCTGATACTTTTCGAGCCGGCCTTTGGGTCCGAGCATATCCGTCATTTTCTGCAGAAACATTTGGGGGAGCTCAAAGGTAAATGCACAGTTGGGACGAAGATTGCCAGATGCAACTCTACTCCCGGCAGCATGTCTTGTTAATCTTATCCGTAATACGGTGCCAGTCTCCCCCTCTCCCTCTTCTCATTCTTAACAGAAAAAACCCCTCCAATATCTCACGGCCTGCATTGGGCCAGAACTTTTGTCCCCTTTCTAATTCGCTGCCTTCAACCATCTCTTGTGTTTTCTTCTTCCTATCAGCGACCGCGGCTCCCCGAAAGAGGGAATCCCACGCCTTGCACGTGTGGGCCTTTTCTCTCCTGGATTGCGCTGGGGTCTGGCCAACCAACTTCCTCATACTAGAAGGGGCTAGTCTATATATGGATTAGCTCCAGCAGACCGAAAAATACGTACTGCTGCAATTAGGGTGAACCTCAAAATTGTGGCACTGCCTTACGCACTGTGCATTTTGTGTGCGACTGTGCGGCCTTCCTCCACTTCTCTCCTCTCCCATCCACTTCATTCACTCCCCCCCGTCTTTGTCCATTGTCTCGCTTTTGTGTCTCTCTTCCTTTTTGTTGCGTTGCTCTGCACTCCGGCACTGTGGAATCCACGCTGAGAGCGGCCACCAGCAGAGACAGAGAGAGGAGACTGGACGCCATACACACCAAACAGCTCTCGTCAAACCACCACCACCTCCTTCCACCACCGCACTCGCCGCTGCGAATGGCCTCCCGCTGAAAGGCCCTCTCCTCTATACTATATTCCCCATTTCGATTCGACAGCCCTTTTACCACGTACCACCTTCGTTGTTCCTTCTCCCGACCCCATCCTCCGGTCGCTACATCCCGCCTTGACGCTACTTCTACTCGCTTTCCTTTGTTTCGACACACACTCAGGCGACCCTGACCCTGATCGTCCTGCCCAGACCTTTTCTTACCGTCGCGCTTCGTGAGCGCCTCCTAATAATCCGCTTTGCCGGAAGAGCTATCAACACCACGCTAGACGCAAAGCCGGCGACCCAATCCCAATCTCCCGCTCTCGTCCAACAGCGCCGCCAGCTCCAGCTTCACTTGTTCACTGCCATTGTTGCAGCACCGCCATCTCATCTCGTCGTCCTTGGCCCGATACACATCACGAGACCAGCCTTGCTGCTGGACACGACGACAACCTCCTCCCAGTCCACATACACCCAGAGTCTGGAGGTTGCTGTCCCTCCAGCTCTCCGGACTACGCGATGGCCGCCATGTCCGCCGCGTCAGCGACGGCCAACACAATCACGCCCCCGAGCAGCAGCCACGGAAACGGAGGTGCATGGAATAACTACACAACAACAGACACAGAGGTAAGATAGCTACAGTCCTGGCGACACGGCAATTTTCTTGCAATTCTTTTTCCAATTGGCCTTGGCCAGGCTGCTCGCGAGTAAATATGCTGACAAGGTCTTGCAGAACCTCCAAAACAAGAGGTCTCTCGATAGAACCGATCAAAACAGCCGGCCACCCCTATCGCAAAACGGCAGCTCCGCCAATATTTACGAATACGGCTTCGAGCCTCTGCCTCCCCCACGAAAAAAGGCTTCCAACGACAACATATCTCTGACAAAAAGCACAAGATCATGGGACAGGACAAACCGCCGTGACCATGACACGTCGAAATCGGGCAACTTTGCGGACGATGTTTTCGGGGGGAAAGTTGGATCTGACGAGAAGCGGGCGACAAATGACATACCTGTCTCCGACGATGACAAGTGGATTCACCGGGACAAGCTGGCCAAGATTGAGAGTCAGGAGCTCCAGGCTGCAGGCATTGTCTTGCCGAGGGCGCGTGCGAGCAGCAAACCGCGCAGAGGCCGTAGCGAGGAGAAGCTCAACGGGAGCTCCAGGAGGACCACATCCGCCCCGCCAGACGATGAAATTCCTCTGCCGAGATCTAGGAAAAGCTCAATTTCGCCGGAAAGCAGAGTCCCGAAAGAGACTTTGCCGGATATGGATTTACCTAGCTGGGATCTTCGGCGGCCCGAGGAGATCGCTGTCGAAGGAGATGACGCCTACTGGACTTCCATTAGTGACAAGAACAAGAGCGGCTCCAAGATTCCCGTCGCCAAGGCTAGCCCGGCTCCCATCCCCGAGTATTACTTGGAGAGGAATGCGCCCTCTGGACGAAGACGAAGCGGCGGTAGCGAGCTCGAGACGATAGCCTACCCGAAACCGAGGCCGAGGAGCGGTAGCGCCAACACGCTCGGCGCGACATCAACGTTGGCACCCGCAAAGCGCAACAACACCGACATCTCTCCCCGAAAAGGCAGCGGCACCTCCAGCACCACCAGGAAGACCTCGACTCAGATCAAGGGTGGTGGAAAGACCAAGACACGTGGTGGCAAGGATTCTACGAGCAGCATATCTGGGAACAGACCGACAACGCGATCCGGAGAACTGTCTCCCGGTGTCAAGAAGCCAGAGGGCGACCCGCCATGGATGGTCGGATCCTACCGTCCTGACCCTCGTCTGCCGCCTGATCAACAACTACTTCCGACGGTCGCCAAGCGTCTGCAGCAGGAGCAATGGGAACGGGAGGGCAAATATGGAAGCATCTACGACAAGGAGTTCCGTCCACTCACGGCAGACGGTCTCCTCAAGCCACCCGAAGCTGGATCAAGCACTACACCCCCCGAAGAAGAGAAGCAGGAGCAAGACGAGTGGCCGCTGAGAGGTGACGCTCCCAAAAGCCCCACGGCGCAGAGCCCCACGTCGCCGAGCATCAAGCAGACCAACTCGTACTCGACCATGCCCAAAATCTCCGATAAACCCCAGACTAGCCCGCTGCCGAGCCCTCGTGGCCCACTGAGCCCGACCATGCAACCCCAGCAGCCCGCCGAGACCCAAACCGTCGTCCGCGTACCCGAGCAACCTTCCGCTGCGGCCAACATGTCCATGGGCGGCGAAAAGAAGAAGAAGAGCGGAGGCTGCGGCTGCTGTCTCGTCATGTGAACGGTCGCTACCATGTATCCAGCCTCGCTCGACTTTGCCATCCACCCCCGTATATCCCGTGTCTGCATCACACCAACATACCCCCTTTTCAACCGCGAGGCGAGCCTCCGACGACGTTATGAGTCTCTAAATTCCATTCACAGCATCGGCCCATCAATTAGATGTATTTATCGAAATATTCTCACCAGACAACTGCACTTTCTTTCGGAGGCAATGCACTTGAGAGCAGCACCGCGGTCCAAGTTTTTCTTTGTTACCCTACCGAGCGTCCTCCAGAAGCTTCGCCACTCAGCGACAACCGTATCCCCGATCCGACGTGTGCGCGTCACCTGATAGTTATGGAGGTTCTGGGGAAGACGCGCCGAGTGACGGGGATTTTGTGTTTTAGAAGCTGTACTGCGAACCAGAACGGAGAGGAGCTTGTTTATTGAACATCCAAACATTCATGGACTGTGTTCCGGCAGAGCCGTGGTTCACATCCCAAAAATCGAAAGGCAGTTGAGGAGGCCGGGGTGTCTTATCCTCGTCCTCACTCATCAATACTTGCCTCAGTACTATTCCCCCTCGGTTATCAAAAAAATGTATAATCGTTAGCGATTGCACCCAGAAAAATTGTCAACTTTTTTGAACATCCACATATACTTGCTCCTTGGTTTCTCTTCTCTGCGCAATGTGTTTTTTTCCATGTCGCCAGGCGTTTTTTTACTATTGTATTTCTCCATGCTTGGCGTTTGCTTCTTTCGTTTTCAGAATGGGGAGTTTCGGGCATCCGTGTTTATTGCTAGTCGCGTTGAGGTTGGTGATTTTGCGTGAGGAAAGCAGGATGATGTGTGGGAAGAGGGGGGTTTGGCGGAGAGGATGGTCATGCCGGGTGTAGAGACAGGCTCGTGTCGTGGTGGAGGTGACAATTGATGGACGAAGAGGGAGGTGAAGAGAGGGAAGGGTGGAGTTGAGAGAGAAGGGAGGGAAGGGCGAGAGGCGTAGGCACCGGTGCGGATTTATATATAATTGATACCCCAATCCACGTTCCGCCGGTGGCCGAGGCGCGGTTGAAGGGGGGAGAGATGAGAGAGGGTGTTTTGCTGAGTTTGAGTTTGAGCTGGTTGTGTTTGGACAGGTGTTCTAGAGAGGGAGAGAGGTGCGAAGATGATGCTTAGAGAGGTAGGGGAGCGTACTTCAAAATCAAGCCTTTATCATACATATTGATCCTCGCGGTATCAGCGTCATCTAATGGGTTCCTGCTATCGCCCAAAGTGACATATCGGGATTCTTATAAGAGAAGGAGAAGGGAAGGCGAGGGATAACAAGTCATGCCTCTGACCGGGCTGGAACAGCGCACTTCTTGATTGAAGCCACTCTTGACTTCATTCAAGTATCTGACTTCATTCAAGTATCTGTTTTCGGTTTAATCAGCCTGGGAATCTGCGCATACACAGTTGAGCTTTGGCGCCTGCTGTGTGGGGGATGGAGTTGAGTGGTGATGTGTAGCCTTGCTGGGAGGCAGAAGGGAGACGGAAGGTGGAATGAGGCTCCAGGTGTGGTTGCCTGGTGCTCTGAAGTGATTTGCCGAGATATAGTATGTATGTGATCATGGTAAACTTGTCGTGATGCTTACCTCAGTGTGGACGCCTTGTCGACCCCAGAATGGTACCTTCCTCTCGAGAAGACTGATCACCGAATCCAGACCTTGAACTGAGTCTTTGAGGCGTATAAAAAGGAGACTCCTCTGCGCTGGTTTGCTGAGCTCCTTTCCTTGAGCAGAGAACCTGCAGCTTTTTCCATCTTGTAGAAGCAAGGTGGTTGAGCGACTCAAGTGCTGGCAGCTTGGAGTGTAAGGCGGCTGGTATGTTCCGATCTCATTCCGTGATGAAATTTCCCTTGTGCAAAGACATAGTGGAAAGAGGCGGAGATATCGTGCCGCTGCTTGTTTTCGATGGTCCGCCCTTTCGGTGGCTTCATAGCGGAATATACGAAGTGCGACAAGGCGTGGTTGCCCTGGGCTTGTTCTCATCAAGTACCTTAGTTCGTAATTGCTACTGATGCAAGTGAGCTTATGCAACGCCGTCAACGCTCAAGCTAGTTGGCTGAGTACCTGCGTGATAACACAATGGCCGTTTTTCTAGCGTGTTCCGATGCACCTGCCTTGCCAAAGCTTGATGAATTAGCAAAGGGTTTCCTTTTGAGAGGACACACAACGCCAGCTCAAAGGTCTGGCCACACCATTAAGGGTCACATAACCGCGTTTCCCTAATTATTATAAACTGATAATACCAAAAGCCCGTCAAACTAAATAAAATTTATATTCTTATATTTATTCAGAAAATTACTTGAATCCTAGATTAGTAAAAGTTGATAAACTTAAGCTTTAATATTGGGTATTTTATAAAAAGGTGGGGACTTAAAGGGACGGTTTTGGTGAGAGACCTAATGGTGTGGCCAGACTTTTGAGCTGGCGTTGTAGTTGGCTCCCGGAGTGTGTTGGAGGAAAGGGAACGGGGGTCGTTTCTCTTCATATCTTCAGACAGTGACACGCGATCAGCATGCATACAAAATTGATTATCGGTCATGATAGCGGACCTGGTCTCTGGTCATTACCGTAACTTGCACTACCTAAGTGATTGCTAGCAGCGGCACAGTCGTCTTCTCAGGGCGGTGCCGCCCGCCTAGCACCACTTCGTCAACCGTCTTGGTTATATGCTACAGCCGACTGTTCATCCCTTTAACAGCTGCCTCGACAATCTCAGTATTCTCAAGTCCGGGATGGTGCAGGCCAGAAGGTTGAGAAAGTACGGCAACGTGACCTTAAGTAGCTCTCACCTTAACGGCATTACAGGCCGTCTACTTACGAGCACTATTTCAAATAATCAGCGCGTAACTAGAATAACATTGATTTAGCGGAAATTATGTACCTATTCATATGTAAGATCAAAGGGTAGGTGCTTACGTCCGTACAGATATATTCGCGAAAGGTGAACTTGTACATGCGAAGAATGCTTAGAATAACCTTAAGAACAAATAACTTGAGAACCTGATGATATCTCACTTACGCAGCCCATGAACGTTGAAGCTCGTCGCTTTTGACAAATATTTATAAACATTGAATCTCTAACATGAGATCCTTCTAGTTCGGCACTTGGCACCGCAGCGCTCAGAGTTCTGCCCGTTCCAACGGCGAAAGTCAACCTTGATCGTACATCATGCCATATTCAATGCTGTTCTCCAAATTCTATATATATTAACAATGGCCGTCACGCGTAAGCGGGGGTTACACCTGGCTTCAGGCTTCAGAGACCCATCAGCCGAAATATCACTCTAAATCATAGGAGAAGGAACACCGGCTACTGCTAACTACCCGCGCAACATTAGAACTTTCCACAAGTCTCCGTGTAGTCATGCTTCTCGTTTCCCTCTGAAAACCGCTGGCCACCCTAACTTCTGCCCCTGAGTTCGATCCATCTCCCTGGAAGCACCTTCTTCAACGCCGGACAAGCCGTATGTCGTCTCATGTGAGAATGTCTTCTCCGTCTCATCCTCGGCAACCATAATTTGACTCCCTCTGATCTGAACTTGAAGCCTTTTCGCGAGCTTCTGCAAGTCATCCACAGGCTGGAGACCTCCACCCGCCGCAGTGTGGCAGTCTGGACCGAGAGCGACAAGAGTGCCCAGTGAAGAGCTCTTGAGGTCTCTATACTTTGAGTCTGAGCCTCCCGTGGAGTACATGATAGTAATGACAAGGAAGATCGCTGCAGCCGCAATCTCCGCTGCGAGTAGCATCACCCAAGGCCATGTTATCTTGACGAACGTGGCCATTGTGGTTACATGACCAGGAACCATGAACACGCCTCTGACCTTTTGATTGTAGGGCCGCTTCATTCGGAGTCTGCTTCCCAGATTAGCTGCCGTATAAGAGAAAAAGTAAACTGTAAGCAATCAATTTGAGACTTACGCAGCAGACAACAGGGTGGCGGCGTTCTGGTAAATGTTTTCGAGACAAAGTTTTCGACGCTCAGGGATTAGTATGTTAGAATATGAGAACAGCACTGAGCTCCAAAGCGTGAACGGAAATTCGAGACCAAGATGATCGACTTGAGCAAGTCCGCTGGTAGTAGAAGACATAGTCGCGTATGCAAAACCTGCGAAGTATGTCCTCATTGATTGGGACATTTTTTCCATCGCACGATAACTCGCGCTAAAAGGCTTGACTTCATCTCGAGCCGGCTTGACTGAAAGAGACATATTTCGCGTCGGACTTTTGAGTTCAAGGACCTCGTTCCAGCGGCTTGGGCTGGAATTGCACGCAGACATATGTTGTTGTACCAACGGTGGACATTTTATGTCGAGAAATGTTTGGTCGTGTTGACTGACGGGCTCGGTGAAAGTGTCATCAATCAGAGTCGTTTCCCTACCTAGCTGGACTGTGGTGGTATAAGATTGTACACACAGGTGGAAGAGAACTTCGAGAGCCTCGTGTTCAACACTATGGACATGATCGAGTACCTCCTGCCATGTGTTGTTTGGACTCTTATCTTCAGAACTCCACCAGGCCTCGTCGTTTTTCAATATTGGGGTAGTGTAGATCAAAAAGAATGATGCGATTTTTGCTGAAAGAAGAGCTGGGCTGTTTCGGAATGCAAACGTATGGCTTCCATTCATTATGTCTGTGAACAACGCTGCTTTGCTTTGATGGTTGAATTCAAAGCCATTAGGAAGCGCAACTTTCCACACGCTGCGGTTAGGAAGGAACCTATCGGAGAATGTTGGCGTCTCTGTCATTCTACCGCCTTCGAACTTCTCAACTTTGAGGGAAGATGTTATGTTCGCCATCTTCACACAAATCCCGAGGGATTGATATTGATCGAATGTGCAGTTGCTTGTTGAACAGAATGTCGCGTTTGTGTCGATGGCAGAATAAGGTAACGGCTTTTGAAACCCCTCATAATCTAGGAGAGGAGCTCGTTGACCAGCAAAACGGATTGCTGACACGAGGTCATCTCTGGGGTACATGAGATCTCGAACGGCTGGCGTAGTAGCTTGGCTTTCCGATGCTTCTTTTTCGACGGGAATGTCTTTCAATGAGTAATTGATAGCTAGTTGTGTGAATGGCGATGTCAGAGCATTAATCGTGGTGAGCAGTGCTCCAAGAACCACGAAATGCTGGAATCGAAACCGCCAGAGTAGTATCAAGGAGCCCCAGGCCCCTCGGCTTGCTTGATCTATCAATTCAAAATCATAGAGAGGTTTAGGTATACCATTTGCAAACCAGGCCCACTGTGACTGGCTGATGCAGGCGTAGACGGGTATCACAAAGGCAGCCTTGGCTAAGGCGGTGAACAATGCGAGGAACGAGTTGAGTGTGGTCCCTAACGGCCAGTGTCTAAGCTCCTGCGAATCATATCTGAATAGGACAACAATGATGACTTGAAAATTTGAAATTAGTGATCGGAGCTTCTTAGCGGGCCTTGCATTACTTACCGGTCAAGAAAAGCGTACTCAGTGCGATGCACGATATCTCCACAGCCCATATTTTCCAAGTCGGTTTCAAGGTCTCTGTGGCTCTCTTGATTTCATCAAGCCTTTCGGCACTAGCATTCGTAGGTTGTGGGCCTTCGTCAGGTCCTTGTGATGTCTGTTGTGCACTTGTGTGAGTGGTGACACTGATGGGTTTTTTCCGGGTCCCCTCGCCTGAAATCGAGAGATCTTCATGTTGGTGTATGTCAAGATTGATGCCGTAGTTTGCGTGAGGCGAGACTGGGCTTATCTCACTCGCCATGATCTCGGCTTCAGTGCTCGACATTGTCCATTCATGAGTCTGGGCGGCCGAAGTTGGGTGAGATATTGAAGGCGGAGTTTGCGGACGAGGCGATGCCGATCGGTCCACCTCACTTGCGCTCTCCGGAGAGTACTGGTTAGAGGAGACCATCGGAACTCGCTGCTGAACTTGAGCGTCCGGAGACATAGCTTGAGGTGGTTCTTCGTTGGCCTGCATGACTGATGAGAAGATCAGATGCAAGACTATGAATTGTGCTTCGGCTGGAAGAGAGAATCAGCTTGCGGATCACAGAATCCTCTCCGAGAATACAGGCTGTTAAATGCTCACGGTGGGCTCAACTCTCAAGCCTAGAGAGGACGGGTGGCGTGACACTCGGGATTCCAAGTCGGTGCATAGATCGCCTCCATGAGTTTTCCACTCTTCTAGTCAGTATACGTAAGCCCGGCTCGTTTGATGTAGTTCGTACGCTGCCAACACGGCTATTCGGTGACACCGGCCCCGGCTTACGGTAGTGCCAGTCTCCAGATGCCTCTGTGACAAGGCAGAAGATCTTCCTGGCGTAAAGTCATTGATAGTGTCATATGCTTACATTTCGACCTGGTCCGTGTTACCATTACATGTTGTGTTTTCTACAGACTTGCGCACCACTTCGGCTCGCTTATTTTAACCGTTAACGTCTTCTAAGCCGAGTCAGTGTTCCGTTCAACAAGACGCAGCCACGTGAAGATACCTAGGCTCGCACCTATTCCATCGTGCAAATTGAGCAAATTATCTGTCGCTACAGCCGTCAAGGCCGCTTTGTCTTGTTATCCTTAAACTAGGGCAGTGTAGTCACAGACCAAGAGACTTGTATAGATCACAGTATAAGATTGCATTACATTTGGTAAAGAGAACTTGAATGGACTCTTAGAAGCGCGACGAACTGGAGAGGCACCTCTGATCGAGTAAAAACATAGCAAGACGCTGGTGGACTAGGTGATATAATACAGGGCTACGAACAGACAAAAGATCGCCTTTTGATTGTTCACTGATGGGCGAGCTTGGCTTGAAACTGCAGTTCTCGACGAATCTGAAGTGTTATAGCGTATAGCTATTAGGCAACAAGGCGAAAATTGAACATCTCATTTGGATCGAACACCACACCTGTTGTATTCCAATAAAAACCCTCGATAATTCTTACTCAGTGCAGTAGATTGAATACAAAACTGCTTCAAACCGGTGTACTATGCAAACTATTCCACAGGGCCACCACTGCCTTCTACGAAAAGCACCACTCCATCTTCTGACCTCAAAGATAGTTATGTGTACGCATCCATCGATCTAGAACCTTCGACGGTGATGAAGGCGTGTGAGTAAGCAGTACCGGTGAAATGACCTGATGACGGCACACAGGAATAGGGATATCAAGTAATCTGGATGTCGAATTGTATTAGGTGGCTATCTGTGGGACATACCCTGCTATCTCAACTTCTCCGCCGCTGTCAGCAAGCTCTCTCATTCTGCGGTACAAGTATCCTTTTTCATGAGCCCAGTCAATAAAGCCCATGCCACCCCGAATGTACAAAAGAAATCCTCAACAAGTAATTGGCTCGTAAACATGGTCGAATCCCCAGATACAAGTCCCAAACTCACTCCTTCTGGTCCAAAACGGAAGCATGCAACACGGTGGGACTTGTCTGGATAAGCGTACCAACAGTAACATGCGGCCAGCTGAGGTTAGCAAAGTCCAGTGTGACATTCTGCGTGTACTGAAGCTGAGTGTACTCCACGGACACCGTCTTTGCTTGCGGGATCGGGAAGTGGACCTCAAAGACGGGCACTTCCTCACCCTCGCGGAGGGGCAGCGGCGAGAAGTGCTTGCACCGCTGGTGCTCCGAGGGTCCCTTCCACGGCTCGAGATGGATCTTTGTGCGGACGGTGGAGATCCAGTACTGGGCCTCCATACGGGTTGCGTTGGCGTTGGCACGGCTAGGGAGTTCGAGGGCTTGTTGGCCGTCACCGACAAGGAAGCCGATGTTGGAGGTGCCGCCGCCGAGGTTAGTTCCCTCGGGCTTGGTTGTGATCTTGTAGGAGGTGTTCTCGAGGATGTTCTTGCCCTTGTTGGCCAGCTCCAGGACGACGTTGGGGTTGTCGATCATGTCTTGGGTGATTGTATGGGCTTGCGTGAACTTGTGGAGGTCTTGCGGGAGGCGGAAGGTGGCAGGGTCTTTTGCATTTTGGCTGGGGAAGAGGATTCTTTTGCCGCCGCCGACCGGAAAGGGCTTGATGTCGACTTTGGGAATGAATGGTGCTCCCACGCTGAAGGATGGCTCCGAGAAGCACTGGGCGTTGATGGTGGTGCCGTGCGGGATGGAAGCCATGCGAGCAAGGGATGTCTTGAGCTTGGGTATACTTGTAGCGGGGACGTGCATCCAGAGACCGGGCTCGAAGTGAATGACGGGAGGTTTCAGCTTCGGCTCCGTGATATCATGAATGGTCTGGGTGTAAGGAACGCCGTTCAGTTCGATGTCCTCCTGCTTCATCAGTCCGCGGTTGGGCACATCGCCGAGACCGGGAGCAAAAACTTGGCTCTCGTGCGTGATGTTGAGTTGGAGGATGTTATCCGGGATGAAGGGGGGCTTCAGCACGGGGGTGACTGCCAATGTGGTGGGAGAGGTAGTGCTGTGAGGGCGGAAGATGGTGTTAAAGCCTTTACCGGTGAAAGTGCGGTTCTCCAGTTTCTTCAAGATTCCCAACGGCGGGGCTGGTGCTGCTGGCGTTTCTTGTTGAGTGATGTTAGCATGGGTCGTATCCGGGGTGCCGTTGTTGTGGGCGTTGGCGAGGTACGGGCAGCCGCCACGGCCGTTGGAGTTGTGGTCGCTTTGTGGCTGTAGGACGGTGGCTCCGAAGGAGTTTGCCTCTGGGACGCTGATCGAGGCGGAGGTGGTGATTGGGAGACCCATGACTGCAAATGTGCTTTGGAATGTTTGGTTCTTCAAAGTAACGGATGAAGGTGAGCTGTGTGGTGAGATGGATGAGGGATGATGATGAGAAGAAGGGATCTTTAAGTAGTTTTTTCCTGATACTATCGATAGCATCTGAATGGAGGTAAATAGAAGCACAAGTTACACGAGCAACAGATAGGCAGAATTCCGCAAGCGCAGATACGAGCTGACTGTTGATGGCTTCAGTTGGAGAGCTGAAGTGTGAATAAGACACTTCGAACGCCACAGCCTGCAAGCTCGGAAGTATCATCTGAGTGGCATCAGCCGCATTCGAAGCTGACAGTGAGGCGTTCTTTACTTCCGCTTCTCTGCTTTTGTAAGTTGTGTGGCACTCCAACTCGCTCGCCGCCTTCATACCGGCAAACAAAGATGAGACGCTGTAGCCTATCTCTTCACTATGAGGTCCAGCAGGGATAGTACGCCACTTTCTAGGCAGTAAGGGTCCCATAGGCCCTATCATGCGAATACTGCATCGATACTAGAAAAGACGATTGAGAGTTTTCGAGTGTCTCATATCCTGCTCTAGGCCTTAGAAAGGTGCGGCTGAAGCTCAGCGGGCACGTGCCGGTCCGCTTCCGGAACGTTGAAGCCTGCAACCAAGCCGCATCGGCAGTTTGAGAAATGAAAGTCCCTGGATCTCTCGCGATGGAATTTCTGGTCTTGCGAAGCCAAGGTCCCTTGGTTTCCTCACTGGAAAAGCCAGCTGGTTCTCTTGAGTCACAATGGCACATACTGACTTTTAGGGGTAAGTACGTCGCACAATAATCACGTTCATCGAAGACTGAGATCACGGGAAAAGTCGAAGGAGTCTTACATGCAGGTACAACTTGTAGCCTACCTCAATCTAGCACATGTGCGTTTCCGAGGGGACCCCCAATCACATCTCCTCCCCCTCGTCAGCTGGAATCCAAGTGTCTCTGGCTTTTGGAAATCCTACACATCTAATTGGCCATTGTCCGCATGCCACCTTTCCCATGCCATGTGCTAATCTGACGGCACGTAGAGGAAACGTGGGAATTCCCCACCCGGGTACGACGGTCTAGATCCCCTAGTCTTGAACTCTGGTATGCAAGCTGTCGGACCGCCTCACGCCGCCACTGCAACCGGAGGGTTCCGAGGCTTCGCCCATATTTATGTCTCAGCCCTTTCGCAGATAGGCTTTCTGTCAATCAGCCCGGTGATGCGGAACGTTCCACCGCACCCGGGGAACAAGATGGCGGGGTGGAATTGCCATGGGTTGCACATGGTATTCACTTGCGTTGCGCGGCGGGCAACGGGGCGACTTTTCGGTGAAGAATGTGTGGCATCAGGGACTATTCCTGTCATGTATGCGGGTGGGAAAGATGGCCGTAGAGCATTCTCTTACCTTGAATCAGCAAGGGTATGGATTTTCTACTATATGAGCTGTACTACGACTGGATCCCGCTAATACAGGTGCAAAAACATATATGGGGCAGGAGGCACGCATGTAGGTGCTCCTTCCCGTTGGCTACCTCCCGACCTACATTAGGCCTGATAAATTCACCAGGAATACGTGACAGGTGCGTCACTGAATCATCGTAGCGTTGGAAGCCGTAGGAACATAGCCAGCGTGTTCCCTTTCCATCCTAACAACAAAGATCGGGCCTGGTGATCGAGTGGTGAAAGCCGTGAAGTGCTGACTATTGCGTGATGCTCCGTACTCTTCAGGACTCCTGCGTTCAATTCTCAGTCGGCTCCTGTTGTTTTTGCCTTTTCTTGCCAAAAGAGATTGATCAAAGAGTCGCTTGTGTTCTACTACTCTCTTTATTGCTGGAAACGCATGCACCCGGCCGGTTCGTCTCGTGGACTTAATTCATAAGGCGGCAATAAGCTTCTAACTGTCGCCTTGCGATTCTAAGACGCCGTTATGCCTTCTTTGTGACGAAGCGACTTTTCCCAAATGCGATGGGCGACGGTAAGTAATTGACTTTTACGTGCCGCGAAGACGGTTGATTATCAAGGAAGGAATAAAAAGAGCTTTGCTGCTCGGCGTGAGGATGAAGCTCAAAGGGCTTGATCTGGGCCATGCCAGAGACCCCGCCCCTTAAGCCCATTACTCCTAGGATCCTTCGGAAAGCACAATTTCCGAGACAAGAACTAAGTCATGCCGCGAAGAGATCTCAAATCCGGTTTTGTTGGTGTTACCTATGACCCTGAAGATCTATCTTGATTCTTGATGACGCAACTCGTCCGGTACGTGAAATTAGAGCG